ACTTTGTATCTCTAGTGCTTAGCACAGTGCTCGGCACATAGTAGGTGTTTAATAAATGTTTATTGACTGCCTGACTCTTCTCTGCCTTGGAAGAGAGAAAAGTTACTGGCTTTTAGACCATAGATGTGCCCAAGCCGGGTTCCCAGCTGGTTTGTCCCAGCTTTGTTTGCTACTGAGGTATGTTGATGGGAAAGGGAGTCAGGAGTCGGGAATTACTCAGCTTCCCTGGCCTTTGCCAGCCAGGCTCTCCCTGCTGTGGTTTATTCTCTCTCCCATGCTGATATCCACCCTTTAGATAAATAGTTTGAAGTTATACATGGTAAGCTTCTTGATGTGGTTGAAAAAGGTTGTATTAGCCAAACGCCTTTCTCTCCAAGAATAGCTCTGAAAATCTGGATCATGGCCGTGGGTACAGCCTGAGCCAGGGCCTTGCAGGAGAGACCGAATTTATCTTCTTGGTGGTGGAATACAGAGGAGTAAAATTACTCAATAACTTCCGCTTTCACCTACCCCCTCCTTCCTGAGCCAAACCTGGGTCTGACTCCACCCTTCCCTCCCCCTCCATTCCCATCTAATCTTTCATTAATGATAGGAAAACTACTTTTTACAGGCCTTTCACTACCAACCCCCTTCCAAAATTCTACGTTTATGATGGGAACAGTCTGCTGGATCAGGAGTCTAAAGACCCGGGTTCAAAATCTTGTCTTCTCTTCCTGTGTAACCTTAGGCAGATGACTCATCTGTCAAACAAAAGGTTGGATCACATGACCTCTGATTTTGCTTTCTAGCCTTAAATCCTATGATGTTTCCATTTTGAGATCAAATGAGATGGTATAGAGTGTTTTGCAAAAGCTTAGTGTTATAGCTAACATTTGTTACTGTTATTCCATTATGTCCAACTCTTAATGACTCCTTCTTGGCAAGGGTACTGCAGTGGTTTGCCATTTCTTTCTCCAGGTGATTTTACAGCTGAGGAAACTGAGGCAAACAAGGTTAAATGACTTGACCAGGGTCACATAGGTAGTAAGATGTGTCTTTCTGATTCCAGACTGGGTGCTCTATCCATTTCGCCATCTAGCGGCAATATTTGTTAGCTCTTATTTTCATTATTATTTGTGCATTAACAGTTTACTAGATGCTTTTACACTATTTCATCTGACTTTGGGATTTTTTTGGGGGAAGGGGTGTCTTGTCTAGGGAATTCCTGATATGGAAACTCCCTCAATCAATGCTAATTGGTGACTGGGCTATATCTCAAAGTCTCAATGTTCCATGGAGGGGGAGGGGGCACTAAAGGGGTTAATTGCCTTTCCCATGGTTACATAGGTATGGAACATATGGTAGGGAAGACTTACATGAGGTTTTCTTTTTGTGTCATGGACCTGTTTGGCAGTTTGCTGATACCTATGGAACTCTTCTTAGAATAATGTTTTTTAAAAGCATAAACTAAAATACAGAGAAATTACGAAGGAAACCAATCACTATGAAACACAGTAATGGAATTAAAAAACAAAAAACAAGTTCACTTTGCCCATTTTTTAACAGGCTCCAGGCCAGGGTGGGGAACTTGCAACCTCGAGGACACAGGTTCCCCACCTTGCCCCAGGTTAATAACCCCTGACTTAAACCCAGGTCTTTCCGACTCTAAGACAGGCAAGTCTATCCACAACTGTCTCAATCTTATCCCCGTTTTACCCATGAAGAAACAAAAGCTTAGCCCAATTAAGCAACTAAAGTGACACAAGTGGTTAATAGCAGAGCCAATAATATGCCCCTCACCATCAAATTCTTTTTTTTTTTTTTTTGGCTAGGCAATGGGGTTAAGTGACTTGCCCAGGGTCACACAGCTAGTTAAGTGTCAAGTGTCTGAGAGGCCAGTTTTGAACTCAGGTCCTCCTGACTCTAGGGCCGGTGGTCTATCCACTGCACCACCTAGCTGCCCTCTCACCATCAAATTCTTAATTCAATACTCTATACCACAATACATTCTGCCTTTCTAGGATTATCAACTGGCCCTTGAAGCTGTGATCTATTTAACCACCAGCCTGACTCCCTGTTGGGAAAATGTTACCCCAGACGTCCTGACCCTTTGCTTCTGCCTTTCTCCATTCTGTGGGGGCAGAGATGCTGGAAACATGCAACTCTGATGAGACCTACACTCTGTTTCCTAAAGTAAACCCAGCTGGGCAGTCTTTATTTTGTTTGCATGTTCACTGGGGCCTGAGAGATTTGATTTCTTTGAAAGATGACCTCTTGGTACAGAGAAAATGTTGCCCCAGCAGCTGGTTAGAAATATTTCCTTTTCCAACCCTGCTGGCTGGCTGATGGAGATGAAGGGTAAAGCAGACCCAAACATTTAGATCTCTGTTGTTTTAGAAGTATCAGTGGGATTAGGTGATGCTAGCTTTTGGCAATGAGTTTCCAGCCCGGCAGACTTTGTCCATGAAGCTGGAACAGGAGGGAGATGGGCAGGTCATCTGGAGGTTTGTCTCAGTCCCATATAGAGGAGTGCTTCCAACCTAATCCAAACTAACAAGCATTGATTAAGCATATATCATAAAGCAAGGTATTATGCTAGCTGCCAGGGCAGGGGCGGGGAACCTGTGCAGCCTTGAGGCCACAGGTGGCCCTCTAGGTCCTTAAGTGTGACCCTTTGACTAAATCCAAAGAAGTTTGGATTTGGGCTGCACTTGAGGGCTTCCTGTGGCCTCAAGGCTACAGGTTCCTCACCCATGTGCCAAGGCTACAGAAACAAAAGTAAAGGCAGTTTCTTGCACTAAAGGAACTTACAGGCTACTGGGGAAAGATACAATGTGTAAAAAGATAAACAAGTACATGATTGATTGAGGTGGGAAAGAGCCCTAACAACTAGGGGGAAGTGGGGGGCTCAGGAAAGGCTTTCCATAGGAGATAGCATGTGAGCTGTGCCTTGATAGAAGCTAAGGGATCTTAAGAGGAGACCAGGAAGTAGTGTATTCTAGGCATGGCGGTAGGAGATGGAGAGCTGAATTCAGATAATAGACAGGTAGGCTGGTATGGCACTAGCAGTGTGTGAAGAAGAACAATTTGCAGTGAGCTAGGGAGGGAAGGTGGGGTGGAGCCAGAACTGTGGGCTGATGAATCTGTCTTGGTCTCATGGTAGCCTAGGCTTAACCTATAGTGTATTGGGTGACAAAGAGGGCAGGCTTTTATGAAAGGCCATAGAAGGAATGTTAAAAAACAGAATAGGGCAACCAAGTTGCCAACCTTCCCTCTTTTCTGAGGAAAACCCAGAATCCATCCTTTTCTTCACTGAGACAGGTAGACTCCTTCCTTCTAACAAACACTTTAATTTTTTTTTGAAGGGGGTGGGCTAGGCAATGGGGTTAAGTGATTTGCCCGAGGTCCGCAGTCAAACACTTTAATTTTAAAGGAATGATTGGACTTAAGGTCTAGTAGCACTGTGCGGTCTAACACTTATTACCTGTGTGGTCATGGGCAGGTCACTCAACCTCCTCTGAGTCTCAGTTTTCTCATATGTAAAATGTGGGGTTAGATTAGATGGTCTTTGAGGTCACCTTGCCCTCTAGCCCTGTAGTTATTTCTCTGAGTATAATTGAGACAGGGAGAAATCAAAGAATTCTCCCTCACTCTCCGTGTTGTCATTCCTGTCTCTACTACTCTTTTTTTTTTTTTTTTTTCCTGCTGGGGAGGAGACTAAAGCATTTTCTCTCATTCTGGGAGAAAAGCTGCTCAGATTTGAGGAATTGCTTCACATTAGAACTGTTCCTGGATCAGTCTGATCTTCAACAAGTCACTTCTCCCACCCTACAACCCGGGCAGGTTTGGGAAACTGCCCCTGGGTAGACGGTAGACCTGCTTCCCTTTGCACGAGACATAATCAGTGTCCACTGCCATAATGTGCTTACTGACTCCTAACAGAGAATCCTAGACACAGACTGCTAAAACTATAGGAAACTTTGAGATCTGAGAAGTCATGGGCTGACTTATATTTAGGGTTAATTCCTGTGTTCAAGGGAACCTTAAAATAAGGCAACAGCCTTCTATGAAGCAAATTCTGCCTTGTTCTCCTTTCCCCCTGGAGTGCCAAAGGTTCTGTCTTCTAGATAGTTTTTCAAATCATCCGTGCTGGAGAGAGATTGACAAAGTATTTTGTGTGAGTACATGTGGTCACACTTTCCTGGCTTTCATTTCTTTCTGGTTCAACCAATTTGATTCAATAAAGATTTATTAAACTCTGTTCAAGTTCAATTTCTTGTGTGTTTTCCCAGTTTAAATAGCATTGCTTTATAAAAAACAGCAAAAAAGATAGCATGTTTTCCCATAATCCCAGAGACTCTTTTCCTTGGTGAGTTTTTCCCTAGAAAAACAGTGAAGCTCTTGGGTCGGAAGCCAGGAAGGGGGAGGGGGATTCACTGTGCAGTGGCAGTGAATTGGATTGGGCTTTGGGATGAAACTAAGGCCTGGGCCTGTTTCCACAGAATGGTTCAGTTGGGTGGGTGGTCTCTCTGAAGGGTCAGGTGGGATATTCCCCTCTTCCCAGACTGCAGGAGACACAGCATGCCTTGCCCCAATACAGCTTAGAAAAGACAACAAGCCCAAAGAGGCCCAATTTGTATTCCCAGTGCACCTTCAAGTTAGCCATTTGATCTTGCAAAACCTGAAAGATGGTGGTATTATGAGGCCTGCTTGATCTCAGCCCTGACGATGGAGGGCCTTCTCCTGAGAAGCCTGCAGTGTCCCCTTCGAGAACTAACTCCCCCTCCTCTCAATATGCCCCCCCCCATTCACACACGCACAAGCCAACCTCCTGCCCTCTCAGCTGAAGTGTTTGGTTTGCTCATTCACTGTGAAATGAGGGATTTGAGAAATAACTCATCCTTTTGTAGCCCAGAGAGCTTAATAAGGGCTGTTTGGGATTAGTGGGGAGGAAGTAAAAGGTAAGAACTCATCCAAGTTCCTTCTTCTAAGACTCTGTCCTCTTGTCTTTTGCTTTATAGATGCAACTTCTGGATAAGTTCCCCATCGAAGGTGGCCAGAAGGATCCCAAGCAAAGAATCATCCCCTTCCTCCCAGGTAACATTGGACTTTCCTGGGTGCTTGGAAACAAAAAGCACGTCTAGTAACAGTCCTTGTTGTCACCTTTCAGGCACCTGGATGCTGTTTTGGGGCCACCATGTTTCAACCCTAACTTTGCCTGAAAATTACTGTGTAGTATTTACGGGACTTTGGTCAGATCCTCTGTGGACTTTTGTTTCTCCATCTGTGAGGAGAGATGGCAAAATTCTCTATAGATTAGTTTTTACTTGCTCTATTTTTCTAGCCTAGGCCATTTACCCTGTCTCACACAGCCTGGTGTGTGAGGCCTTCCACTCTTCCAGGGCACACCATGTTAGTACAAGACTTAATGTAGACACTCAGTTGGCTGTAGCCCCCCTACAGATCTGATTTCTGAACTCAAACAACTCACTAACCTTAACCTACCTAGCAGCACTATAGGCATACACCACTATGCCCAGCATAAAAATGTTTTGTTAAATTCATAAAATAAATTACATAAGATTACAAAGAAAACCAATTATAATGAAATCAGTTATCAACACAGAAAAAAGAAAAAGCCAATCTCAGATTAAGAATACTTGCTGCTTGTTTTACAGTTGAGGAAACTGAGGCATTGGGCATCAAAATAACTTTTCTAAGGTTATAAGGATCACAAATAGCAAAGTCGTGATTCACACACACAGGACCTCTAAAACCAAATCCATGACCTTTGGCACCCCCCAAGCTGTGACTGAACAAGAATCTCTCCCCTTCTATATACCCTGAATGTGGTCATCAAGCATTTGCTTGAAGGCCTCCAGTCAATGGGAAACCAATGTCTTCTAAGGCAGACCATTCCACTTTTAGATCGCTCTACTTGTTAGGAAGTTTTTCCTTAAATCAAGCCTAAACACTCCACTTTGTAATATCTAGTCACTGTTCCTTCTTTCCACTTGGGCTAAGAAGAGCAAGTCTATTGCCTCTTTCCACAAGACAACCCTTTAAATGTTTGAAAATGGCTATCATGACTTCATTAAGTATTCTCTTCTCCAGCTAAACATACCCAATTCCTTTAGCTGATGCTCATATGCTATCATCTCAAGACCCTTCACCATCTTGGTTATCTTTCTCTGGACACTTTCCAGATTATTCAATTTAACAAACATTTATTAAGTGTGTATCAAAAATGCAATGCACTGGATTTATCAATGTCATCTAAAATGTGGCACCTACAACCAAACACAATATTACAGGGGTGTTCTGACCAGGATAGGTTACAGTGGGACTGTCACCTCCCTAGTTCCCTATGCCTCCTTTAATGCAACCTAAGATTGCATTAGCTTTTTTTGGCGGCTTGTAATCCATTAAGCCCCTCAGATCTTTTTTCAGACAAACAGATGTTTAGCCATACTTTTCCCTTAAGTGTCTTTAAGGTCTTAATTTTATTGCCCAGAACTTTGTCATCTTGAGCAGTGCTTTCCAGACTCTTTCTGACCTACCATTTGTGCCCTTGTGAATCAATGGGGGCAGGTGGTAGTCATCTGGCAGGCCAAGTCTTAGAAGGCTTGGATACATGCCTCAACAAGAGGGCTAGCCTCTCTGTACCTCTTATCAGATTGGCATGTATCTTATCATCTATCAGGTTGGCATAGCTCTTATCATAGCTGACTCAGTACCTCTCATCAGGGAATTATCACCTACTATTACCTTCCTCTTCTTCCTTTGATCCTTGCCTACCGAACAGCTCCGAGGGGGCCATGTTATTATTCCTCCTTAGAAAGTCCAGCTCCTTCCTCTTCCGGAAGAACCTCATACGAGTTACTTGCTCTAAGTGCTCAGTATTCTTTTCTTCTTCCCTTTCTCTTTCCCTCATATTTTTTTCATCTTTTCATCTTTTTTCCTGACATAGGTCGATATTATTGACTTGCCCAACCACTGAAAATACAAAGAAAGATAAAAGACAGTCCATGCTCTCAAAGTGCCTACAGTCAAATGGAGGAAGCAACATGGAAACAGCTATGTACAGACAAGTTATATTCAGGATAAATTGGAATTAATCCACAGAGGGAAGGCACTAGTGCTGAGGATGACTGGGAAAGACTTCTTGCAGAAGGTGGAATTTTAGCTAAGATTTGAAGGGAAGTTAGGAGGCAGAGGTGAAGGAGGAGAGAATTCTAGTATGGTGGACAGCCAGCGAAAATGCCCAGAGATGGAAGATAGAGTGTCTCATGTGAAAAACAGCAAGGAAGCCAGTGTCACTGGACTGCAGAATTGTTGTTGTTGTTTTCATTGTTGTTCCTGGAAGAGGACCAATGCAGTCATGAGAGTGATTTCTTGACTTGCTCCTGAATTGGATTTAAGTGAGGCAGCTGTGCAAAGTTATCAGCTACACTCTTTCCTTCTGTGGAAGGGGGAAGGTGTATGGAGCACAAAGATTGGAAAGATAGGAAGGGGCCAGGTTATCGAGAGCTTTAAAAGTCAAACAGAGGACTTTATATTTGATCCTGGAGACGGTAGCAACAAGCCGCTGGAGTTTACTGAAAGAGGAGAAGGGGGGAAGTGAGTGACAAAATCAAACTTGTGCTTTAGAAGAATCCATCTGACAGTTGAGTCAGGATGGACTAGAGCAGGAGAGACTTAAGGCAGAGATACTAACCAGCAGGCTATTGTAATAGTTCAGGCATGAAGTGATGAGAGCCAGCACCCAGTGGTGATGGGGTCAGAGAAGAGAAGGGACCATACATGAGAAAGGCTATAAAAGTAAACGACAGGCCTTGGTAACAAATTGGATATGAGGGCCAAGAGAAAGTAGTTGCAGGTGACACCTAGATTATAGGCCCACGTAACTGGGAGAATGTTAGGACAATTTGTAGTAACAGGGAAGTTAGGAAAAGGGGACAGTTTTAGGGAAAGATAATGCATTTGGCTTTTCATACAGAAGCTTTTATTTGTTGTTTATTGGTTTGTTTGTTTTTCCTAAATCCAGAATACTTCATTCTGCCTGATAACCTAGAGAAAGGTCTTTCTTGGGTGGAGTAGGGTGGAGAAGAGGGAAAAAGGGAAGGCTATGATTTTTATTTATCTTTTCCTTTTTTTAAGTTGAACTTTGCAAACACTAAATGAAATAGATTTGTATATATATATATATGTATATGCATATATTTATTTGCATGTGAATCCTTTTTTATTTTTTTGCAGGGGCGGGAAAAATTATACCATGTTTTAAATGTACTACAGCAGCTCACTATTTAAAGGAAAGCTTTGATAATTTTGATATCTAAAGCAAATCATCTCCCTAATTTATCTGTTATTTGGATGTTTCTGTACTGAGTTTACTTATATTTATTTATATTTATTCTGTATATACTTTCACATATACTTGTTTCCCCCATTAGAATGTAAATTTCTGGAGAACAAGGATTTTTTCATTCTTCATATCCCGGTGTATGGATAATAATAAACTCTTATTGACTGATTATTTATCCCCAGTACCTAGTCCATGGCTTGGCACATAGTAGGTGTTTAGCAAATGCCAGGGCACATGTGTTAGGAGCTTTGTAATTTTGCAATCCCAGGGTCACCTATAGAAGGAATAGAACCTGTGTCTTTTGGATTGCCTTTGTTCCTGGAGAGACCTCCACAAACCTCTGGGCTTTCTGAGGCAGGCACTGAGGAGAGCGTGGGGGTGCCGAGTAGCCAATGAATTGGGGCTGTCATTCTCTTTGTTTACTTGGAATTTTCTGCCTTGTTTCCAAAGACTATTGTGGAAAATCCATCTCCTGTTCCATGCAATAGGACCAGAGTGGATTTCCTGTCTCCTCTGAGTTTGAAGGCAAGACGAGGCTCTCTAGGAGGAAATGGTCCTTCCAGAGTGTAACTAACTATGGAACCACCAATGTAAAAAACAAATGACTCTGTCTGGGAACAGACAGAGTACCTGAACTTCAGAGTTATAATAATTACCAAGTTATCTTCCCCAAAGCCCTTGGGAGGTTTCCTGACAGTTTGCAGGAGGCCCGCTCACAGTCAGTTCTCATCTGCTTGTGAACCAATGTGGAGACCAGGCTTCCATGTGTTTATTTATTTATTTATTTTGGACAGGACCCAGTATAGGGAACTTCCGGTGGGAAAACTCCCTCTATCAATGCAGATTGGCAAAAGCTCTGTGAAAAGATGAAGATTGATTCTGTATCATTTTCTTATTGATCCTAGTTACAATTAATTGCTTTTCTGTAACTTGTTTTAGAGAATTACCTGGGGGCACTGAGAGTTTAAATGATTTGCTCTGAGTAGCAACAGCCAGTTGGTATTAGATATGGCTTTCTATCCACTACCCCATGGTGCCTCTCCATTGACTACCCTCAAAAGAATGGCAGAGCTAATATGACTGACAGGGAAAAATAGAGTTATAAATGTGTTTTGTCTGAAGGGGAGTGAAAAAAACCCCCCAATATGTTTTAAGGGGAAGAAAGAACTTTTAATCCTGGTCAGACACAAAGCTCTGTGAAGTTGGTTGTAGGCAGAAAGAAGTGTCCTTTGACAAAGAGCCAAAGGTGTTCATAGGCTTCTTTCCAGTTTGACATTCTCTCAAATAATGAGTGAAACTTCGCAGGGAGGGTGACCTCTGAAATGTAAACACACTTTCCATTGCCTTCCTCTCCTGACCCTGCTTGGGACCAGATCCGGCATTTGTTCTCTCCTGAGCCAAGGCCGGTTAAAGGGATTTCTTTAAATAGCCCTTATCCAGAGCATAGTGCCGGGCAGAACGGTAGCTTCATGCTGCCATTTCTTGTGATCTCTGGGTTTTCCAGACAACAGGTGAGCTTTCACAGGAAGACCAAGCTCCCTGAGACACTGCAGTCAGTGACTGGCTGATTTGTAAAAGCAGCACAGTGGTGGAGGTGAAGTTCCCCCCTGTCCTCTGGCTTCCTTGGAATGACAGAGGAGGGGGGAGGGGAAGCCTGGTCAGCTGGTGATTCTTGTATTTAAAAAGAAATGAGCAAGATTATAGGCCAGAGGAGCAGTTTGTGCTGGTC